CCAGGTAGGAGTTTTATTGCAGATAAATTCTACAATAATCTGCAATCCTAGAAATATGTACTGCAAAGTAAATGTCCATGGAATCCAAAATCTCACTGATTTATTCTCAGAGTGGTGCATACTAGGCTGCAATCTTATTCCAACACTAGTCAACTGTGCAATAATGTATTTTCTCTTGTATGAATCATTGCACTCGCACACATTTTACTTCTGATGTTTATAACCTCCATCTGACTTATTTATGCAACTGATGATTTATTTATACAGCTGATGCCTCCCAAGGATCCTAAAAGAGATGCAAACTTCTCAGTATCCTTGCACAATTTAGGGATAGTAGTATCCCCAAAATTTCAAACTGGAGTGAAGACTGGGCATTCCATGCAACCAAACTGCTCTTCCTGTCATTGCACATTCTACATCAATATATCTCCATCTAAAGCAGTGCTACCTCTCAGATAAGTCAGTTTCTTTTCTTCCTTAGGTGTCTTCAGTTCGCCATTCTCAAACATGCTTCCAAGAAGAGTCACATCCACAAATGCACCTGGGTCAAAGAATCCAGCCTCATGTGGAGTAAATTCAAACCAGGCATCTTTAAAAAAAAAAAATGCAATTTGAAAATGTTGGAACTATTATTGCAAAAGCAGAGTATCTCTTTCAATACCCTATTTTTACATGAAAATTCTCTCAAAGTTTGGGGGCATTTCTTACTTGTATCCAAGACATTGTTGTACATGATAGTATCAGAAAAATATAATGCATCTAGAAAATATGGATTGGAAAAATAGCATATACCTGTGTCCTCCCCAAAGGGAAAGTTGTGAGAAACAGCCTTATATAGATCTTAGTGTTTACCTGAGTGGGTTTTCTTAGTAACATCATCTACTTTGTTTGAATCCACCGCTGCATAGAGTGGGTAAGGCACGATCCCTCTTTCAGAACATTTCTGTTCCTCAGACAGATTATGATCATCCAGCTGTTGAGGAAGAAACACATGAGCAACTAAATCCAAGGCAAGGTACATATCTGACATAAGCTACGTAGGCTAAAGTAATAGCCAGTTTGGTGTAGTGGTTAAGGCTAGACGCTGGGAGACTGTGAGTTCTAGTCATGCCTTAGGCAGAAAGCCAGCTGGGTGAATTGGGCCAGTCACTCTCTCTCAGCACGAGGAAGAAGGCAACAGCAAACCCCTTCTGAAATCTTGCCAAGAAAACTGCAGGGATGAGTGCAGTCAGTCAAGAGAAGTCAACCCCAAATTGAAGGTGCATGCATGCACACAGACACACACTAGACTAAGAAGGGGGAAAAGTAATCCTGGACGAATGCTGTGGTAAATCACTTCCATATTGCTGCCTAGGAAATTACATGGGAAAACCTCTTCCATGTAGAAGTCAAGCACCGTGTGGAGATTTTAGTGTCCCTACTAATACAAATATCTACTTCAGAGAAGGGATTTTAATCAGGTGCACATCTACGTAGGGAAGAGTTAAGTTTTATAAATCCTGTCATTCCAATAATCAGTCCTCTCATTTGAGGCTACTGTGTTAAAAGACGGAAAGAAAAATCCCTTTTAACATATTTAACGTTATGTAAGCGTATTTTGAGAGTACTTTGGTTAAAATAGGACACTTAACCAGAGAGAATATCTGCATGTTTGTGATTCTAACAATTATCAAGTTGAGAGGGACCCTTCTGAGATTTATATGCTTAGGGATAGCCAGCACCTATACTGGTTAGGAAGGAAGAGCAGAGAAATATGGAATGGAATGGAATGGAATGTTTTAGAAGAGAATATGATGAGTTAGACTATTCCACTCCACAACATTGCGTACAGTTCCATTTGTTCTACTTTTAGAATAATAATCTTCATTTAGCTTTCTTCCATAGGAAAGTAACTGTCCATTATATCCTTCCTTCCTTCCTTCCTTCCTTCCTTCCTTCCTTCCTTCCTTCCTTCCTTCCTTCCTTCCTTCCTTCCTT